TTTAAGAACTATCATATAACAGTGATATAATCTCAAAATATTCTTTACTAAAGCTGTTTACATGTACTTGGTTCCCTGGTCATATTAAAACTATAGTTACCAAGTTGAAACCACGTATCAAACACTTCATTTCATTACTAGTAATATAAGTAATTACTTGATCAAATATTCTTAAGAGGTGACTGATAATACTAGCTAGAACTGCAAAGTGTAAAAACAAAAGCCCTATTTCTAAAGATCCAGTTTAATTGGTGGCTCCCATGAAACATTAAAACTAGCTTACCTAGCCAGGCTTGACTTTATCCATCTTTAATATTAAAATTACAGTGTTACTAAATTTAAAACAGTTTGTGATTAAAGAATAAAAGCCAGAATAATTCACTTTATATATCAATGCTTTTTATCCCTATTCTCTTTGTACTGTTTTATATATAAAAGATATTTGCTAAAAAAGAACAAAAGAAAGTTTTGAATTTTTGTAAAACTTGATAGTATGTACTAAGTTGATCTCAGTTCTTCTGTTTTGTATCAAAAGGCAAACATCTTTGGTTTCATGTTTTCACTCCTCCCATCCACCTAAAACCAACCTAATATTTATTCATACAAAGAGTATATGTTTTAGAGTCAGATATACTTATCTAAATCTGTGAGTACATAACAAGCAACTTACACAAGTTTCTTTAAGTCTCAGTTTCTTCACTATAAAAAGGGAGTATCATAAAACCCTGTAACTTTGTGAGGACTAAGTAACATTAAGTGTTTGCCATATACTAAACACTTGATAAACCTTAGCCCCTATAGGCACTCTGTAAACCAAGCTCCCTATTAACAATAACATGCAAATCTAATAGAATGAATATTGTTCAATATTTGTTGAAATAAATCTATTTATTCAACAAATACTTTCACCCATTATATAAGAAGGCACAGTATTAGGTGTTGGCAATAGAAAGTCAAAGTAAACATGACCCTTTTTCTTAAGAGCTTATGGTCTAGGAGGAAGACAGCCAAGTAAATTAACATTTTCCCTTTTAGGGTGATAAATGCACCAACAAAACTGATAATAGAAATATGCAATAATGCATCGCACTATTCACTACAGAACAGAAACAACGAAAGATGTAAATCAGTGCATGTATCAATATATCTATGCTTATATGTACACAGATGTATACACTTTATGGCATTATTTTAAAATTGGACTTCCTTCTAATTGAGGTGTTCTAACGAAAGTGACAATAATTCTGTTCTAGTCACAGAGCTAAATAGTAATTTTTTAGAACTTTGTTATTTCAGAGTGTCCATCATGAAAAATCTAAAATGCATAAAAATGAAATTTAAAAAAATCAATAATGCCACAATCCAGCGGCAAAACTACTAGTTTCGGTCCTTGGTTGTGGAATTGTTGAGTTTTATTTCTTACTAGTCCTTTTACTATATATTCTTTCACATTTTTGAGCTACTTTACACATGCATTATGTGTGAGAAGAAATCAGCTTTTGAAAAAAAATGTGTATCCTGTACATTTTCAGGAGTGTAAGTTAATGACTGATCTGTCCCATTCTTATTCACTTAGTCAAATTTTGTTTCATGTTTCAATGCTGCCTGAAGTACAGATATATGTCCCCCATCTGGTTATGTTAAGGTCTGAAACCATGTCCCATTCACTCACTTGGAGAGAGACAATAGACCAATCACAAGCAAATATGTTAGTAAGACCTCTCTGATATGGTGACATTGAGCAAAAATTTAAATTAAATGAGGAAATCAGCCATGGGGTTATATGGTAGGGGCATTCCAGAGAAGAAACAAACGATACAGGCCCTAAAGCAGATAAGCATATATTTCCCACATTTAGGGAATGGAAAGGAGGCCACTGCAGCTGGAGCAGAGCAAGCAAGCAAAGAAAGAATGGTAGAAAATAAAGTCGGGGAAGTAGCTAAGATGCATACAGAGGATGGGGAAGAAAATTTTTACCAGTTTTCAATTTTATTAAATGTGACTGGATTGCACTTAAGAGAACAGAAGACAATGTAGGGACAAGATATGACAATTCTTTTGAAGGGCTTTGTTATAAAGGAAGGCAAAGGCTTTCTTTCTTTGTTTTTTCTTTTAATTTATAAGAGATACTTGCAGATACTATAAAAGGACTGAACAGCCTGGTGTTCACAGCATGGATTCTGAAGCTAGAAATACTTGGTGTTGAATCTTAGGTCCAGCAGCTGTGTGATCTTGACCCCTCAGGGCCTCAGTAAACTGTACCTATCTTACAACTTGCTTTACGGATTAAATAAGATGATATATAAAAAAGAGCTTACATCTCACTGTTTAGGCCACACTCCATACCAATCATATCAGAATATTTGGGAGTAGGGCCCAACTATTTTTAAGGCTTCAAAGATTCCAACATGCAGCCAAGTCTGAGAACCAGTGAACCACTCAAACAGAGGAGGAGGGGGAATGTAGAACAGTAGAAGCACACGGTAAGCAAAACATATATGCTTGCTATCGTTATGAAAGTATGCTATTGTTACAGGGGATCTAGCGACCTGAGAAAAAGGAGATAAAACTGATAAAGCAGAGCCTTCATCTTCTTGATGGTTGGCACAAAAAATACTCCTCCATAAAATTTTCCTTAACAATTTCCAAGATTTCTTCTTCTCTGAATC